CGGCCCGCCGGCCTCGCCCTGCTGCTGCGGGCTGCCGCCCTGGGCCCTCTCGCCTTCCACGGCCCTCCCTCCGCGTCAGCCCCGGCCACCCTCCCTCCTCGCGGCTGCAGTATCAGGTGGGAGTCGGCCGCTCCTCTCTGCCAGCTCCGACACCCCGGGTCTGCCTGGGGGGGCCCCACCCTGCTGAGTGCCCCTGAGCCGGCGGGGGGCCCGGGGCTTGCGGACACTCACCAGCGCACAGCAGGCCCCAGAAGATCCACCGCCACAGCTGGGCGTGCTCCCGGCACAGGCGCCTGGCTCGCAGGGCCGGCTGCAGCCTCCTCCTGGGGGGAGCAGGCTCCAGAGGGGCGCCCCGGCTGCAGGACGGGGCCACACAGGCCCGCTCCCCGCCCCCCGCGGCAGCACGGGGTCATCGGGCAGTGCCAGCCGCAGCCCCAAGCGAAGGGAAGACACCGGGCCTCCTCTCCCGCTGGCCCCTGAGGCCACTGCCCCTCCCCCAGGGCTGCCCGCCTCTGGGTCGGGGGAAGGAAGAAGAACCCAACGCACAGGACCCGAGCCGGCAACTCCCCCAGGGGCCTGGACACTTCTGGTCTCCTGCCCACTGCCCAGTGCAAATGCCGGGCCGGGCCTGGCCGCGTGGCACTGTCCGCCGCAGCAAAGGCTGCATTCTCGGGGCCCCTGGCGGCAACCCTGCTGCCTCCGGCAGGACCTGGCTGGGAGGACCCAGGCCTAGTGGTCAGGGCCTGGGCAGCTGGCTCTCAGGCCTTGTCTCCAAGGGGCTAGACTGTGGCAGGACTTTCCAGGCACCCCGGAGCTGAGGGGGGGCAGGAGGGCGGCTGCGCCGGGACCCCTAGCCAGGGGCCAGCCCGCAGCAGACTGGGGTCCCTGACGGCCGGTCCTGTAGGCCAGAGCCCCGTGCTCCTCCCTTCAACAAAGGCTCGGGGAGCCCTCCCGGGGCCTCGCCCCCAGCCCTCACCATCTGGTGGGCTCCGGGCTGGCCTGGCTTCCGTGGCCGCTGCTCTCCGCAGGCCTCCAGTCGCTGCAGGGGCTCCGGCCTTCCTCCTAGGACAGCCATCGGGGTCCCCGCGAGCCCCAGGTTAGGGGCCCTAGGACAGCGCCACGGCCCTGGGGCGTCCCCCCAGAGGGCCCTTTGCTCGTGCGCGGGGCCCGTCCTCCCACGGCAGCTGGGGGCGGGCTGGACGGGGGCC